TTATGTGTACCAAGCGTCGGTTTGAGTTTTGTGTTATTTGGAGTCAAAATCAGGAATTTAGAGTCCGACACCGGTGCTTGAAGAGAAATCGGGACAACTTGAAAAGCATTCGTGAGTGAATTGATAGCTTTGGAGGTCACCGGGAGGTTCACCAATGAAGATTTGATGACAAAAGAGCTTTAGGATTGGCTACGGGATCAAAAGAAGACAAATAGAGCTTGAAAACGATGTTCAGAATATCCTTATGTCAATCGTTAAAACATATCTCTTTGTAGAAGCATCCAAAGGACACGATTCAAGTTTCATATGAAATCCAAATTCAAGGGATATAAATCATATGAAGATACCATTGCAAGAATCTGAGAGGAAGAAGGTGAAAACAGACGATGAAGTCAGATGATCCCTGTTGCGATTTCAGAATGAGACATTCCACCATTTTATTCATATCTCTTGATTGGATGATTCAAATCCAATTCGGCAAGTTGTGATGGATAGAGGACTTCATTATCTACAGGAAGTTTTGTCAAATTCGAACTAGAGAAGCCGAAAAACTCACTGGCAGCCACGCATGCGTGCGTGGGCGCCGTGCGTGCCCCCTGGAGTCCTAATTTCGCCCGAATTGCTCCGTTTTTACTATTTAAACAGCCTGTAAACCCTTGTTTTGATGGGGGGAGCTTAGAGAGAGCCCCAGGGATGAAATTTCTTCTACTTTTCCATCTTGTTCTTCAATTCCCTTGGATTATTTGTAAGTTCCATCTTTTTAATTAATTACAATTAACTCTATTCTTCCCAATTCTATTGATTCTTCAATTATGAGTTGTGAGTAGTTTTAATTAGGGATTTGGGATTGATGAAAGGGTTAATCATGATGTATGGCTAGTTTCTTGATGGATTAATTGCATGAATGCCGTTTAATTTGTGTTTGAATAATTTAATTGCTATCTTTCGTAACCTGGTACCGCGGCTAGATTTACAATTGCTTGTAGAATAAATTAAGAGAGATCTAATTTATTCTGAGACACATTCACACACACTTAATCGCTCGCTAAGAGATTAGTAGCGATTAAGGGGCCGTAAGTTTGCTCGTTTTGGCAATAATTTAGGATCCTGTCGCATGAGAGATCAGCCTGGTCCCCTAAATTATTGTACTCTACGCCGCGAGAGTGGTAAGAACTTAGTATTGATTAGCTAGGCTCAATTAAATTAATTTCATGTAATTAAGCCTGATTTTCCAAAAATCCGATTACCCCGGAATCAATCCCTGTTCCCTACTGTCATTAATTAGAAAGAACCCATTAGTTTAATTTCTTTTATTTTAATCGTTCATTCGCATTAGTTAATTTTCCCAATCAATCAAATCTCGCACGACGCATTTATTTTATTTATTTTTAATCGCTGAATTTATTTAATTCTTAATTCCCTTTTGTCCGTCCCTGTGGAGACGATACTCGTACTTACACCACTATTCTACAATCTATTTTAAGTGCGAGAAAACTAACATCTGTTTTTGGCGCCGTTGCCAGGGACGGTGTCGGTTTTAAGGGTTAATTAATTTCAACGAGAATTTTTTAGTTAGTTTTCTTTTTGTTTTCCGTAGGATTTTTCTGTGCTAACCTTTCAGGTATTTTTTGTAAGAGACATGAGATGAACCCATTCAGCCAAATTCTAGGAGGAATTCCTTACCCTCAAACCTCCATGGAATATTCATCATATACGCCAGACCCTCCTTACACTCCCCCCGCAATATTACACTCCTCACCATTATTACTCTCCTTCACCACAAAATATTCTATTTTCCTATTCTTACCTTCCTCCAAATAAGCAACATTCCCAGTATCATTCCCCTCATTATTCTCCTCATTAAAATTACTCTCCAGCACCACAAAATTATCAAAGCCCTTATTCATACCATCCAACCATGCAACCTTGTCTGCCTAAGAATAACTTTTGTTCGTACTGTGGAGGGTGTCATCATATATCTTTTTGCCCCGTTAAACCACCTTATGACCATCCTTACTGGGCAACTGCATACCCCACTTCTTCCTCCCCACAATATACAAAAACAAAAAGCTCAACCATTCCTACATCCTTGCCAAATAATGAGCCACAGAATGAGTGTAAGAATACACTTTCAGAAACTTTTTCTAAGTACCTAAATTATATAAGGGAGAGCTCTTTAGCCATGGAGAAGTGCACTTCAAACATCATGAAGCATATAAATACCATAAGGAGCCATCTGGTAGAAGACCAATTCGAGGAGACCAATAGGGATGATCACGTGAGCGAGTCAGATTATGAAGGTGGGAATATGGTGGATGATACCCTCCCAGATGCTTTTGAAGATCCACCTATTGTTGAACTTGATCAAAATTATAGTAGTCTCGATTTTTTTTTTTCAAGAATACAGGCAAAAGTTTCGAATGGTACAAGCTGTAACCGACGAAGTCACAGATCACTGTGATTTCCATATAGAAACTCCCCAGCCATTTGATTTATCATTAGTCTTAACCCCTGACAAGGAGGGAATGGAGCAGATGAGTCATGACATTGAAGGAGAGTTGGGAAAAGATAATCACGAGCTCCAAGAGAGTGGTAGCAAGGTAGATGATCCCCATGATGAAGGATTCCCGCTCCACATGCAAGATTACTCCTTGTACGTTCGTCCAGGTTTGGATTTCTTTGATCCATTCCTCGGTGATGATATTTCTTTTTGTGTGGAGAATGATCACAACTGCTTGGAGGATATTAATAAGAAGAGTGACGAAATGAATTGGGATGCATTCATGGAGAGTGATAGCGAGTCAAGAGGAGGTGCTCAGAATTTTTATGGTACATTCGAACGAAGAAAAAAGACATTTGTGATACATTTTGAACAAGAGGATGAAAGTTTCATCCTTCACTTCTGTGCTGACGAGGGTTATGAAGACCATGCGCTTCCTAAGTGTTTGCAAGAATTTAAGAATCTGCGTCACTTAATGGCATTTGTTGAGAGGAAGCTGGAGACGTTGATTATTAGTGCACCACTGCAGTCTTTGCTATTTGAGAGCATATGAGGTATCGTCGGGCAAACGACGTTAAAAATAGCGCTTCTTGGGAGGCAACCCAAGTTTAATTCTGCACTTTTGTCTTTGTTTGTTTGCTTTCAAAAAACCCCCGAAAAAAAAGAAAAAAAAATCCGGGGTGTTTTCTGTTTTTGTTTTTGTGTTTGTGTGTTTTGTTTTTGCAGCTTAGGGTCTTATTTTGGGGATGATGCGTCGAGGATCACTTGACTCAGTTTAGTTCTGCACCAACCAGCGCCTTAGGGAAGTTTCTGCAACTCTTATAATCGCCTATTTGTAATGTTGGCTTGAGTTGAGATTGAGCACGCGTGACCCTTTCCTCTTTACCCCTTCTGCATAGTGCATTTTTGGTCATCGAGGGCGATGCCAAAGTTTAAGTGTGGGGGAGTAAATTGGGCATTCGGGCAGTAGTTGTCACATGCGATTTTTAGAGTTAGCATGCGCAGGTGTTAGTTGTATATTCATAGGAAAGTCATGTCAAAAATTTTGAAATTTTTTCTTTAAACTGTGTCTTTGTGAGCTGGCTAGCGTTTTGACTATGCGTTTAGGACATCCTTGAAGTGTTTAGGCTTAAATTGCTTTCATGGTAATCTAGTTGTTGAAAGGATGAAGGCATTAGTCACCCATTGAATTAATTCATAAATCATCCATCCCACTTGAAAAAGTCCTTTAGGAGAAGTCATTTTGAGCCTGACCGTTTATTCTTTACCCAATTAATTGAGCTCCATAGCCCAAATGGCCTGTGTTTCCTTACCTGTGAATATTTCTGACAAAGTCTTGGTGTTTAGGGAACTAGGGCATTAATTTGCTAAGTTTACGGAATTTTTGTAGGAGCCACCGTTGGCACTGTTCTTATGCCCCAAGTGGGATAAGAGCAGTCACTTTTTAGGAATTTGATATTTTTGAGGATTGCATTGTAGGCATGGATTCACGTTGAATAATTGAACCTTAATTGCTAATTTTCCTTGGTGAGGCCGAGATTAGAATGTGGTAATGTCTAGTGAAAATCTGAAAATTGAAAAAAACTAATTGAATAGCTAGACCTCTTACCTTGCGAAAAAGAGAATGGGAGACCCGGTCAAAAAGCGTAAGTGTTCTGCACAATAAGATGAGACTTGGGCATCTTTCGAAAGAATCGGCGTTCTCGTGCCAACATGACAAGGAAACCTGATCTTAATTGATTGAACTTGGAGGCTATTGCAAAAATTAGCATTAGTTCTTCGCGTACTTCAAGTATACGTCAAAGCAACAATGTGCCGCGGCGGTTTAGCTTAGTTGTACACCATGTCTACTCTTTGCATAGGTTTAAGTGATAGTTTCTGATTTGTGGTCTACTAAATTCCCTGATCCTAAGAATAGCCCTGAAATTCCTGAATGCATTAAGTCCTTGTCAGGTTGTTCCAAAACTCTCAAATAAAGGGATTGATTATTCATTCACCATTCATCACCACATTCACAAGTCCTTCTAATCAGTAGCTAGTTTATTAGTGTGCGCTGCCATAATTTTGAGGATGTTGTGAATAATTTTATCATTAATTTTAGCTACAGTACAAAGATGTAGTCTAGCGGAGAATTTTCTTGGTTTTATCTCTCTGTTCTATGAGTATCCTTGTAACTACCTGTGCATGCTAATTGTTTTAATTTCGTGTGGTGATTATCGTAAGTCCCGTTGTTTAGTTTGCTTGAGGACAAGCAAAGGCTTAAGTGTGGGGGAATCTGATAAGTCCGTATCACAACACGCATTTGATGCATGTTGGGATTGGTTTTTTATGTTTTCCCTAACTTTTAGGTGTCACAAATCTCAATTTTAGCTCCAGTTATGTGTACCAGGCGTCGGTTCGAGTTTTGTGTTATTTGAAGTCAAAATCAGGAATTTAGAGTCTGGCACCGGCGCTTGAAGAGAAATCGGGACAACTTGAGAAGCATTCGTGAGTGAATTGATAGCTTTGGAGGTCACCGTAGGTTCACCAATGAAATTTTGATCGACAAAAGAGCAAGAGAAGTTGAGAGAGTCTCTCTGTAGCCAATCGGGCTGTTCTTCTCCGCCAGGTTGGCACCACCACTTGCGGTGGCCGCCACCGCCGGGGCCCTCCTGGCTCCGGCGGGTCTCCGGTTTTCTTGCTTGATTTTTGAGATTGTTTCTTAACTACTTTTGGTGGTTTGGATGCAGCAGGAACTGTGAATTTCGTGCTGTGAGCTCGCCGGAAAAAATGGAGGATGTCGAGCTGAGCTTTGTGGGGTGGGAAAAATCTGGCTTTGATCTTGAAACTGCTAACCTGGATCCGGTGGTTACTCTACTGCTGGTTTGTGCTTTGGGGGATGACCATTGAGGCCTTGGTCTGTCGCAACCGGAGTGAAAACTTTCCGGCGTCTGCAGCGTCTTTCGACATGGCGCCGGTACGGTTGCGGGCTCTTGGTATTCTGAGGAAGTGGGGGGAGGCTTGCCAAGGCGAATCGGAGTCCGGACAGTTTCTTCAAGGTATGTTCTTGTTTCTCCTGCTGCTTTGAAAACGAACTCTTCTCGATGGTCACCCCCTAAAAACTTGAACTCGCTTCTTGTTCGTCAACCAGATTGGTTTCGTTTTTGGGTTTATTGCTTGTATGAACTTTCACCTCGAGTTTTGGTTTTGTGTTCGAAATTTCTCCGGTCTCGTCGTGTAAATGATTTGAGGGTTCTGGGTTGGTTTTGTTTTGCTTTGACCGGAGGACCACCTGTCTCCTCTTAGCCGGAAGTTTTTGCCCCTATTCGGACCTGCGATCTTCTTGATATCCGGACTGATTACCACTGCGCTTGGCCTCCGGAGAGGGTAGGGAGTGACGATTGTGGGAAGGAATGGGGAAGAGGGGGATTCTGGAACGACGTTGGGGGTCTCTTCTTTCTGGCGAGGAGTATGGCTTTGGTCTGAGGTATGAGAGGGTTGCTCTGTTTCTTTTTTAACTCTTGGTCTGCAAGAGAAGATGACCGGGGAAGATTGGTGCGAATATAGTCGCTTCTCACTCTCGGCTACTGATGGCACGCCTTCACTCTGCCGACGCATCTACGCCGCCGGGGATTGCCGGGACCCGGCGGGGAGGGGGTGGATTTTGGGGTTTTCGTGCTGGCTTTTAGTTACTCTCCGGCTGGCTACTATTACTCCTCCGCCGATGCCGCTGGGTTGGCTGCCGGAGCCCGGTGGGGGTGGGGGGGATCGTCGTTTGGGAGGTGGCAAGTTCATCCGTCTGAGATTTGGGTTTCCAATGGTCCGCCGTCGTTGTTTGGATGCTGCTTCGCCGGTGTAAACGAGGGAAGTCCGACGTCATGGCTGACGCAGCAACTGGCGTGCTCTGATTGGCCAGCTGGTTTCTGACAAAACCTGCCCGTCCTTGACCGTTCTGTCGAGTACTGTTGAAACACGTGGGATTGAATTTTGAACCGTTGCGGCGCGGATGAGAACAAAATGCTAAGGCTGGACGACTTCTCCAAACCCTAGGCCGTTGCTGGGTTGCGGACAATGGTGGGCTGGGCTTCGCTGCTGCTGAAGAAAATTAGTGGACCGCGTTTTTGCTGTTGAATTTAACGCTGGGCTTGGGTTTTTCCGAACCCAGTTGATGTGATGGACTGTTTTGATTGCCTTTGGACTGTTTTTGCTGATGGTTTTTGTTACTAAGCCGGGGTCTGTCCCGTGCTAGTTGTTGGACTTATTTTTGCTACGTGCTGGGGCCTGTCCCGTGCCGTTTTGACTCCAAAAATTTCTCTCTTCCCCCCTTACCGCGAGGTGGGGGGGTGCGGATACGGTAGATACTTTTTTAGGTTAGCTTGCTAGCTTAGATAGTTTTGATGCATTGTACATGCTATTTTTTGGATCTATATACTTACATTTTATCCATTGATGACAAAAGAGCTTTAGGATTGGCTACAGGATCAAAAGAAGACAAATAGAGCTTGAAAACGATGTTCAGAATGTCTTTATGTCAATCATTCAAACATATCTCTTTGTAGAAGCATCCAAAGGACACGATTCAAGTTGCATATGAAATCCAACTTCAAGGGCTATAAATCATATGAAGACACCATTGCAAGAATCTGAGAGGAAGAAGGTGAAAACAGACGATGAAGTCAGATGATCCCTGTTGCGATTTCAGAATGAGACCTTCCACAAGTTTATTCATATCTCTTTATTAGATGATTCAAATCCAATTCGGCAAGTTGTGGTGGATAGACGACTTCATTATCTACAACTTGCATGAAGAAAGTTTTGTCAAATTCGAACTAGAGAAGCCGGAAAACACACTGGCAGCCACTCACGCGTGTGTGTGGGGGACGCACGCGTGCGTCTAACGTTTTTTACGCGCAAGTCTGTCGGAAGCACGGACGCCACACACGCGTGCGTGGGCGCCATGCGTGCCCCCTGGAGTCCTAATTTCGCCCGAATTGCTCCGTTTTTACTATTTAAACATCCTGTAAACCCCTGTTTTGATGGGGGGAGCTTAGAGAGAGGCCTAGGGACGAAATTTCTTCTACTTTTCCATCTTGTTCTTCAATTCCCTTGGATTTTTTTGTAAGTTCCATCTTTTTAATTAATGATAATTAATTCTATTCTTCCCAATTCTATTGATTCTTCAATTATGAGTTGTGAGTAGTTTTAATTAGGGATTTGAGATTGATGAAGGGGTTAATCATGATGTATGACTAGTTTCTTGATGGATTAATTGCATGAATGCCGTTTAATTTGTGTTTGAATAATTTAATTGCTATCTTTTGTAACCTGGAACCGCGACTAGATTTACAATTGCTTGTAGAATAAATTAAGAGAGATCTAATTTATTCTGAGACACATTCACACACACTTAATCGCTCGCTAAGAGATTAGTAGCGATTAAGGGGTCGTAAGCTCGCTCGTTTTGGCAATAATTTAGGATCCTGTCGCATGAGAGATCGGCCTGGTCCCCTAAATTATTGTACTCTACGCCGCGAGAGCGGTAAGAACTTAGTATTGATTAGCTAGGCTCAATTAAATTAATTTCATGTAATTAAGCCTGATCTGCCAAAAATCCGATTACCCCGGAATCAATCCCTGTTCCCTACTGTCATTAATTAGAAAGAACCCATTAGTTTAATTTCTTTTATTTTAATCGTTCATTCGCATTAGTTAATTTTCCCAATCAATCAAATCTCGCACGACGCATTTATTTTATTTATTTTTAATCGCTGAATTTATTTAATTCTTAATTCCCTTTTGTCCGTTCCTGTGGAGACGATACTCGTACTTACACCACTATTCTACAATCTATTTTAAGTGCGAGAAAACTAACATCAGTCATCTCCCTATAAATATAGGCTGAGATGGCCGAAAACTGCCAAGTCTCTACACATTCTGTTTCCGCATATTATTCTGGTAGAGCACATAGATTAGAAATTGTCTCTCTAGTTCATTCGAGTACTGTGTATTGTTCATCATGGATTTATCATCATTAATACACGGTATACATTATTGGTGAATTTCTCTTCTACTGTATTAGTTCTTCTTCTTATTAGTATATTCGACTGTTGCATCTGGGCATAACTCACACAATTTTTGTCAACTTTGACATTATCAGGCTTTAAAGAGGGTAGTTTCTGCCATTTTTTCCATACTTGGTAGAAATTACTCTTATTTAGGGAATCAAAACATGGTCCTATTTTATAATTTCAAAACAGTTTTACTCCTATTCAAGCCAATTTCTAAATATAATTCCATTTTATATGTGGCCTTAGAACCATTATATGATCATTCATTACTATTTTCTTGTGACTTTGACATAACTAATATGCTCCCTACCTTACCTAAATTTTACTTGACAGGAGTAACTGCAATTACTATAAGGTGGTGATTGATTTCTAATTAGATGTCTGTTATTAATTAAATAACTAAATAGAGAGACATAATCATTCATTTGTGTCTCTTCTTTAATAAACAAACGAAATGACACATCGTTTAGTCATGCCTCCTCTCTTATGTTCTCATTATAAACTATAAATAACACTAAATTAATTCTATTGGGATATTGAGGTACGTCCCAGGAATCCGGCCCAAATATCCTTGGAGCCCAACGAACACTAGGCAAAACGGTATACTCTTGAATGGGTCCAGTAGTCCGACACGAATATTCCGTTCAGTACTTCCCGGAGGGGTTGAATCGCATACTTGGGTAGGAGGGAATGTCATCCATGGCTATTGATTACATTGGTCCAAGGAACTAATAGAGAAGCCTTGCAAGTGGCAGGGGCGCATTTAATACTAGAGTATGGGCAATCAAGTGGAAAGCGTGGGTGTACAGGTGGCAGGAAGATCCTCCATTCACGAGTAGCCACGTCATCCATCTCACCCACCCACATCTAGACTTTGTACTAGCAACTGGACTGTAACTCCCATTCGACCATTTCTCTGTAATTAGCATAATTACGCTAATACACATGGCTATTGAGTCATTACCTTGGTCAAAACCTTTCCCTAATTAGTTTATTTCGTGGCCAAGATGCTTTTTATTTAAGAAGCTTACATCGATATTCATAGGGTTGTGTTGGGCCTTTGGATCTAAACGAATTAACTTCAACAAATTCTATGAGACATATTAATCCATCCATCAATAACTTAAACATCGTAACGAGAATCATGCCTACAGATTTTTAATAGCCTAATTAATACGAATATTATATGTTTACCCAAAGGTGACTTTTGATATTCATATGGCGTGATTTATTAAAATAATTTACGGACAATTTTTTGAACCACATGTTTATTGGACATAGCCAACACAAATCCAACATTCAAGTAGGGCCTTAATTTAGTCTGTTTTGATGTTAATATGGTTGATCTTCAACATGGTGATTGCCTAATATGTATTAATTCGCTTTTGTTCTTCTAAATTTATATATATGTCCTAATTGCAATGATCTAGTGACAAATTTAAGTCCTGATTATGGGATTTAACATCTGACTGGAACTAACTTCGCGTCATGGCGAGATGTTGTCAAGCTAACTCTTTGAGCGATGGATTTAGACTGTCTTGAGGCACGATCCTCCCGCTCCACTCTCTTATCAAAGCTCATAAGAGCAAAAACGAGTGCATGAACGGGGGGAAACGATCAAATAGGACATTATCTCTCATGGTCATAAACAATTCCATCTTGGCTGCCATTCACGGAACCACACCGGACTTAAAAAATGCTAAAGAATATATGGTCTCCATTGAAGAGCAATTTAAAATCACCTCCAAGTAACTTGCGAGTACTTCTATTCTAAAGATGTTGACCACGAAGCACAATGGTGTGAGCAATGTACTGAGCATGAATATCATGATGATGAGCGACATGGCCCATAAACTTAAAAGCACGGACATGGAAATATATGAGGGTTTTTAGTGCATTTTTATAATGACCTCTCTTCTAGCATTATTTGGTCCTTTTGACGGGCACTTTGTCATAGTGCGTCAAAATAATTTTCAATACTAACACTTATATGTAGTATAGCGTAGTAGAGTTCGTATCCACAGGGAAATGAATACTTCTCTTTTTATGAACTAATAATTAAAGGGGGGTTTTGGGGTTGAATGATTTAATTTAATAAGAAACTAAGATGAACGACTTATATGAGATTTAATTCAAAGATAAAAAGGACTTGGCATTGCTACTTTCCACTTGTTGATATATTTTAGTCGATCATTGTTATATCTATAACTTATTCCCTCTCGAATACTCAATCGAGGAGTATATCCAATTCATCGAGGGTAGTTATTAACAACGACCATTCATTAATAACCCTTACTATTAGTCAAGTATAGAATACCGCCATATGCCGACTTGATAGTAGCATTTAATCTCTTAACTCCTTGATGAAATCAATTGAGACTGATAACCTCAACACAATGGTTTCGGTTTAACCAACAAAATTAATCCCTCTTAAGTTTATCAACCACGACCGTGGATTAATAAACCGAAGTTACTTACTTGTGAAACCATCAACGATTAACCATCGGTTCGTCGACCGTTTCTAGTAATAATTAATATATGAAACAAAACTAATTGATCCTTTAAGTAATGTTCAAAATACTAATATGAAATATGAATATGAATTAATTAATATTCAAGGAAGAATATTATTAAAGGAGATGAATCCTACTATAATTAATATCAAGATTTTAACTAATTGTCATCTTAGCAACACTCCCCAACATTAATATAGAGGAAGAAAATACTACTCTAACTAATGTCAAGATGTTAACTAATTGTCATCTTAGCAACACTCCCCAACATTAATATAGAGATAGTATTAAGGAAAGAACTAATAATTAATATTCAAGGGAAGAAGTTAAGAAAATAACTCACAACTTTAATAATCAACAAGCTTCAAGAGCAACACCAAGAAACGGAAGTTTAGCTCCTCATGTGGAGACTAAACATAGCTAGAAAAATATAAAGAAATGCTATTCTAAACTGAGCTTAAGAGTATGGAAGAAGGGATGATTTTTAGAGAAGAAAAAGTGTGCTATTTATAGGTGTTTTTCAACACCTTTGGCTGGGTACCCGACGGGTCAAGTACCTACCCGACCGGGTCCGGTCAAAACAGATATTTTCCACGTTCTGGTGATCTTCGTACGTCGGGTTATCCCCGGTCAAGTCTCACCCGACCGGGTGAGGTATAGGGCCCGACCGGGCCAAGCAGTTTTGTTGCTTCTTCGGTTGTTAAATCTTGCCCGACCGGGTGGGGATTTCTACCCGGTCGGGTTTTGCTCCTGGGCAGTCAAATTTCTTGATTTCTTCTCTTCAAAGTCCTCTTTTCCAACACCATAAATCCTAAATCTACTTTACAACTTATAAATGAAGATTAAAATACAATTACAACTAAAATCACACAAATGTTTACAAACTAAATAAAACGATAAACAAAACACACAAATCCAACATAAAAACATATACTTATGCACTACTAATTAGTGCATATCAAACATCCCCACGCTTAAACCTTTACTCGTCCCGAGTAAATCAAATCCAGTCCAAGAAGTCCTTAAAATGACAAGAGTATCAACACAAAAATCCAAGAGTGTTTTTAGAAACACATAAAGTATATCCCCAAAAATATAACAGTAAAGAGGGGTCTTCAACTCCATATTTCTTATCAACCTCAACTTTTTTTCATTACCCTTAGGATCCTGCAAAAATAAAAGAAAATACTTTCTCTCATTCTCTCATTTTGCCTAGGTGCCCTTTCGGGTTTTCATCCCAGCTTCCCACATTTTTCTGTTTTAATCCCCACAACTCACTCTTATTTTTGCTTTATTTTTGCTTAAGTTGCCCTTTCAGGTTTTCAACTTAACAAGCTTTTTTTAGAAGAAGGATAAAGACTATGAATGTGAGTATTCCATGGAACTCTCCCCCCAAGCTAACCAAAGCACTGTCCCTAGTGCTCATCTTCAAGACGTCATAGAAGATCAACCCTTTTTGTGGTGCCATTTCTTTCTCTGTTGGTTGAGCAAAATTCTGACTTGGTGTAGATAAAGTTAGGGAATTCAGGTATTGGGTTATTTTGTGGGTTTTGCTGGTAAAGAAATGAAAAAACAATGGAGA